TGGGATCCATTTCGATGCTCCTCTTGAAAGTTTTTTTTTGTCCTCTCCGATGAACCAGGACGACCCGGACGCTGCTCAATTGTTTCCTTGCTGTTTCCTGAACTGCATTATGATTCTGTTGACTGTCGGTAGCGGGGTTCCCAAATTTTGCAAAATTTGCCGCTGACTTATTCCACCATCTGCTTGATCAACTATCCTTCCTCTAACAAAATCTGACAATTCGAGTGAACCTTGAGTTCTAGGCATGTTGTAGCACAAGATAATTAGTGTGCGGACCATTTTCATTTATATAGTGCTCTATGAACACAAATTAGTTAGCATAAATCAGTTAAATGACGAAAAATTAGGTGTCTATTTACTTGTGACCACTCAGTGTAGTATTAAGATTTGATTTATTAACTACATTTTGAAGCCAAGTTTATTTGTTTACATTGATGATAAAGTAATGTAATTAAATTTTAAAGTTATTGTAAATGATCATGACATGCACACTTTGACCTACACGTAGTGAGAAGGCTAATCTCAGTTGAAAATAAAAAAAACAATTGAAAACATTAATGTTATCTAAGAATAAAAAGCAGTTGAAGTTAAAAATGAGTTGTTTCAATATGATTACTTGTATGTACAGAAATCTTTGTGACCTTTAGGTTTTTCCCACTTTTCTTTCAGATTTTGTATATACTCCTAATACATTTTCAAATAAAATAAGGTATTCGTTTTATGTTAACAAAGCAAACATCAGAATACTATAAAACATTTACAAGAATTGACAGTAAATTAACCAAGAATAATAGTGATTAATAATGTATTTGCAATCACTTGTTTTTATTCTATATGTTTGTCGAAGCTAACTTGAATAAGGAGAGTTATTCATCAAACTTATTTTGTATTAAGAACTCATTTTCTAGCTGTTCACATACACTTCATGTGTTGTGACTAGGTGTTCTCAGCATATATTTTATTTGCATGTAAAACAGCATGCCATGACTTACATAAACATTCACAAAAAAAAATTATATTTCTTTACAGAATATAATCTGTTTTCTTTCCATAATTGTAAAGTTAATTTAATAAGCTATTAAGATCTTCTGATTAAACAAGTTTCCTTGATTTCACATGATTTGGTATATATATATATATATTTTTATTTCTTGTGTATGTTGGGGGGATTAGAGTACAACATTCTCTTTGCAGTACTAGTACAAGTAATACACTTTGAATTACTATCATTTATTTTCTCCAGAACTCTCCACTACCCAGTCTTGAACACCTTCCAATTCCACAGTTAGAGAGTGAAGCTAGAAAAGCAGTTACTAAACCACAAAGGTAACTAGAGACAAGTGATCTGTTAATAACTATTAATGTATTAACTATTGTGTTGTTGATTTGTATAAAATCTACTAAATTATAGATGTTAGAACACTTTAATATCTAATGTATTAGTTACTGTGGAGCAGCTACTAATTAATAGTTAAGTACATTACAAATATTGATTTGTAATTCAAGCAACAGCTTAAGACACAAAGTAGAATACTATACAGATCAATAGTATATGATTTACTAACTCCAATTAACTCTTTCAATACGGAGTCGATCAATGTGACGACCTTGTAACCATTTTGTGCTTGTTATAGTTTTCATGCTATAACTTTTAAATTAGTTAGTTAATGTTAATGAAATTTGGCAGTGTATCAGTAAACAATACAATGCTTTCATATGTAAAATATCTAATTTTTAATTAAGTCATAGGGTTTGTAAAGCGATGTTTTTCTCATGTCTATTTTTTTTTCACATCTTGCCTATCTATCATGCAAAGTAATTTTCATTTTAAGATTAAAAATACTTTTATACATCAAAAAATTTTGAAATTTCATATGCAAAATCAAAATCAAATGTCTGGATAGTTATCGATTGTTTCTTAAGAAAAAATTATATTTTATCTGTTATTTTCAGTAAGTAATCTCTGTTCAGGTTTGATAGATTTGAACGATCTTGCAACCACCATAAAAAAATTAGGAAATAAACATAAATTATGCCTCTTTCATTCTAGAATGAACACAGATTATAATACGAAAACATAAATGTTCAGACGAAATAGCTTAAATCT